ATGGTACTTGACACATCTAGAAAATACTTTAGAATGATAGATGTATCACAAAATATTTTAGGATATTGGATGCACTCAAAAAAATATTTTGGAGTGCTGGATGCAGCTTAACCCTTAACTAATTACTTGTTGAATGACATAATTCAAGCTGCAGCCAACTATTGGGTTAATATCACGTAGTACTACCTCTGGTTCCTAATATAAGAGTTAGTTTAACTATCAATTTGAATTTAAATATAAGATCCCAATTCACTTTGTCTTTCATATTTATTCATTTTTCCTTGTGGTAGTTCTTGTTGTAGTTACATATATTAAAGCTAATACACTTGATTAGCAAGGGTATTTTAGAAAAAATGACACATATTTATTATAAATAACTAACTTAACAAATTTTCTTAATCTACTCAAATCAGTCAACCAGCTCTTATATTAAAGACTGGAAGTAGTAATTATTATGAGAGGTATCAAATAAATGAAGTGTATGTAAGCAGGCACAACACACAACAACGTAGCTTTTGTCTAGCTGCTCCCCTCTGGGAGTGGGAGAAGTTACTATGTATGTACAGTCAACAAAATAAGTTCGCCGTCTTGATTTTTAAATTTAAAAAGTAGAAGGGGAAAAGATAATTTCGAACGGGTGAAAAAGAAGAGAATTGACCGATTTTTATAGGATGATTAATTCATTTCCTCTTCTGTTTTAATTTCAGAAGCGCGAATAATAAAACATGGTATGTACATTTATTTATTTTGATTCTTCAAGGTTTGAAATTTGGGGCGGGGGAGGATGGGTGGGGTCAGCAAATCAAGACAATAAGATTTACACCTGCCCCACAAAATTCAATCCAAATAAACAAAAAAAGAAGTTGAAAATTACTAAATCCCAAATCAGATTTGGTAATAATACTTCATTTAGTCTTGACAACACTAAATTTTTATTGATATTCCTGATTTAGTATTTTATTAATTTTCAGCTTCCTTTTTTATTATTTTCCAATAAAAAATGACTCACCTGGCTCCCAACTCTCATAATCCAGATTTCGAAGGATTATTGTTTTCATTTTTAATCTCGATGCCATGAAGTAATAATACTGGAGTTGAACTAGGCAATGATAATTGTTGGAGTATATTATAAGGGCAAAAACAAGCTAGGTCTGTTTTGTAGCAAATTGGTATGAACTTAACCTATGACTTGTTACAAACTTATATATCTTTTAGTTTAAACTTGATCTGTATAAAAGCTTGACATAACCTAAAACATGTTAAAAAGTTTATACTTTTAAAAATTTTAAATTACATAGTAAACATACACATACTGATAAGAAAGCAAAACATACATATGACCTAATAATTATTTTTTAGTCTTGTCTTTTACTCCTCCGGTCTTTATTATAAGACCCAATTTGACTTTTTATTTGGTCCTAATTATAAGACTCAATCCATTTTGTCTCTTATATTTATGCATTTTTTTCCAAGATAATCCTTCTAATAATGATAGTTTTAGCCAATATACTTAATTAGCAAGGATATTTTAGGAATGCCAACACTTATTTATTATAAATAACCAACTTAACTTACTTCCTTAATCTCCTCAAATAAGTCAATTGGGTCTTATAATTAGGACCGGAGGAGTATTTAGATTTTAATGTCATAAGAAATATTTTAAATCTTAAAATAATTAATAAGCATATTATTGAAAACTAGTTATAATTATATGATTAAAATTTAGAATAAGACTATGTCTAAGGAAAATTATATAAGACCAATAAATAGGGAGAAAATTATAAGTCTACAATAAATATAGGGGGTATCATAATTCATAACACATAAGTTAATTAATTTATCACTTATTCCCCTTCATTTTAACGATCTTTTTAGAACAAAAATTTTGTTGCCATTTTATCTATATTTTAAAATTTTAAATATCACATTATTTATTGAAATTATTATGTTAAATTATATTTTTATCTCATTTGTTATCCGTATTTCAAAATTCAAGAAAGCATTTAACTATGTATAAAAAGAAAAATCAAAAGAGCACATTAAGAAATAATAACATTAAATAATTTTTTCATAATATTACAATTTTGAATTTATAACAAGCCCAATTTGGCTTGATAGGCTTATTAAAAAACTTAGACCTAACATGTTAAGCTAAACAAGCTTTTAAACACACTTGAGCCTATTCTTTTTTCTTTCTTTTTTTTTTTAAAAAAGGCCAGGCCATCGGCCACTTGGCCTGTTTTCACCTCTACGTAAAAATATCGATTCATAACATGTATTAATTATTTATTGATCATTATGTGATTATAATTATAAAACGTTCATAAATATATTTTATCAAACATTTATTCCTGTAACTCATTAAAAACCAACTTGAATAAGACAACAATAGAATTGTTCATGCATAATTATTTCCCTTCCTGTTGAAGTAAACAAGACAACATCAAAATTATTTGCCCCGCCAATCAATATACATTAAAATACGTTTTATGCAGCTAGTTTCTTCGTGTACGCTGAGCCAAATAGACCCTTGTAAAAAAGACGAGGGGAACTGAACTACCAGTCTTGCGACGGAACACTGAAGAACGGACAAGCTTAGCCTTTAGGGGAACACAAAATAAAAAACCAAACTTTTTGAAACTCATCAAGGTAGCACCGGATCCCCTTCACGAGGAGCCCTTTCACCGATTCATGAGCATATAAAGAGTCTCTCCTCCTAGCCCAGTCTGAGTCGTAATCGGTTATTACATTATCAACACATCCACCCAGGCCACCGGACAAATCAAACCCCGATCCCCCTCCTTCTTGAAAAGCGACAAAAGATCGAAAAGAGGGAAAGAAAGAAACTCGGGAGCATCTGGTGAAAATGAAGGGATTGGTCATGGTCATGGGAGGGATGCGTCGTTTGTGGACGTTGAGGACAAAATTAAATAACCATCCTGGCTCATTTAATTAATCATACTAAATTAGGAAATAATGGTCCATGCTCAATGATGAGGGGGATGGGAACAGAGGAAAGGACAAGGTAGGAATCATCTTGCCAGCAAACGGCAATGCTGCAAGACGACACGATGGACGTCGCTCATTCAATATCAATCAGTAAATTACTGAGGAACGTAGGGAGCCCGGTCTTGATCTGCAAGCCGACAACCTCGATCGCCAAGGCCCTTCTTCTGTCGGCTTCTTTCTGACATCTATTCTTATTACTAGTAAGGCCAAGTAAGTAGTACTGGTATGAATGTGCACATACGCATGTAATTGCATGCATGAATTTTAACTGACACCAAAATTAAATTAAATCCATGTCAATATCCACGATAATTCAATCACAAATAAACTACAAAACTGAGGCTGCCATGCATGATTTAAGTTAGAGACGAGAAACTTCATGCTCACTGTTGTTAAGAGTCTGTCACTCAAATAAACTGTCGCCACTGGAGAATCAAGCACTATATATATTGTTGATGCGAGTGGTAGTTAACCAATCATGACTGAGTGTTTTACTTGCACAATAAAAACAGCAGACTTCTTATCTGCAGGCGTTATAGATATAATCCATTTCAATTAATTAATTCCCTGGTTTTGGATCATATCATGCCAATTTATCATAAACCGGGTTCACTTTGGATTCTAGCGTGTGTGTGTATATAAATATATATCATCGTATTACTTTTTATATTGTTATGATGATATGCACCGTACGCCGGTTTCATAAATATCTAATCTAACCCTCCGCATACACACAAATACGGACCAGTGTTAGTACTAATCACTTTGATGAGCGCCGTAAGCTCATCAAATCTCATTTGAATAGTTTAGATTTAATTTTTATTTATTTATTTAAATAATTATTTTAGTATGTATAGAATTATTTTTTTTGAAAAAATAGTTTTTTCTATTTAAAAATGATTAATTAAAGATTTTAAATCTGGACCATTCACATTAGATATAAATGATCCAGATCTGATGAGTTTAGAGTGCTCATCAAAATGATGAGCATTGAAACTGGTTCCACAAACACACAGACACTTAACAACTCCAAGTATGGGTTATTATACTATAGTTAATACGTATACGCAACATCATAGCTACTTACTTTTATACAGTATGTATAACCATTTTTTTAACCAGCTTGTTATGCGGCATAACTATACTAGCCGCACGCATCACACGGTAACCGCCAACCTTTTACATGTCAGTCCGGACCAGATTTTAATTTTGAAGAATCCTGAGCCGTCGGTTTGGATCGCTTATTTAAGTATGAAAAATCCCCGAGTTTATAAGACCAAGTTGTGCCAAGTCTATATGTCGCCCATGGCCAACCAACTATATATACACACACATGTCGCCTCTAATTCTAAATACAGAGTTAATTTTTAGTGTAAATTATACTATAAACTAACTCTTATATTTAGAACCAGTATTAAATAATATGGAGCTATCTCATGAAACGTACAAACTGATAATATATGTGCTCACTTCATCATAACCAAAATATATATATATATATCTATCGTATCAATTTGAGGTCTGCTTCTCATCCCGAAAGCATTTCTTTGAAATGATTATACACCGTAGAGTTGTAACACTAAAATATGTGAGAAAAAGACTAATATGTTAGGCGGAATGTAATTTAAGATAACTGTGAAAATATTAATACTAGAATAATATGAAGACGGGCACCGCGTACGAACCTCCCTGCAACCCCGTTACACCATTACTTGTATATATATAGCTGACACAAGAACAATATCTGTATCACTCGAGATATTCGTAAGCAAACACGCAAATTCTCTCTCTCTCTCCCCCTCACACACACACACACACAAGGCAAACAGAAACAGCACTGTCCTGAAATAAACCCACACCTAAAGCCTTATTTTGAATATAACCTCTCTAATCATGGCAGGAGCTGGAACTAAGAAATCTGCTTGTGCGACTACGTCGCCTTCATCATCAAATAACAACCGCATCCAGCACAATCCAACGACAAGGCCACGATGACGAAACGGTTCATAGGGGTCCGTCAGAGGCCGTCCGGACGATGGGTCGCCGAGATCAAGGACTCTGCTCAGCACGTCCGGCTTTGGCTCGGAACCTACGACACCCCAGAGGAGGCCGCCCAAGCCTACGACGAGGCAGCCCGGGCCCTCCGCGGAGACAACGCCCGAACCAACTTCGTGTCCGCCGCCGCCGCCGCCACTAGCGAGGGCCTATCGAAGCAAAGTGGACTGAGTTTTGCTTCTCTGAAAGCCAGGTTGAGCAAGAATCTTCAGGGCATAATGGCTAGGTCAAGCGATGGTAGTAGCAGTAATAAACCATCCAAGAGCAGGGTAACTGACCATTTTACCCTCGCTAGCATATTCCACAGAAGGGCTAGTTCTGACTACGGAAACTACGAGTTCAACCAAATCCCTAATGATATGGTGGAGAAAGTGGTGCAGCCCAGCATAATAGTGCCGCCTGTAGGAGATCAACCGGGTGCGGTTACTTCCTGGGAGAGCTCAAGCAGCTCCGAGTGGTTCGGGTTCCGGCAGCCTGGTTTGGACTCTGACGGTTCAGATGCCGGCGGGGAGCAGTTAGGGCTTAGTTTGGAGCAGCTGTTGGGGTGGGTGGATAGTCCGGATCATGGTAATAATAACGTGTATGGAAGCGATGAACAAGATGAGGGATCAAGGAGCAAGAGGTTTAAGGTTTCTTCTTCAGTTCTTGTGCCTCCAACTTTCAGTGAGTCCCCAAATAACAGTGATTTTGGGTCGCCTTACAGTGCTTATGAATCTCCATATAATGGTATTGGCGGCAACTGATCAGAAAATCGAGAGCGCCGCGCTAATTCGGATGCCCTCTAACCAAGCAGTTCATGTAACTAGAAAGAGATAGACACGGTGGTCATTTTCTTTAATGAATTAATGAAACCCACCTCTGTGTCCATCTCTCTCCGGCTAGCGCATTCCATGGCTAGAGAGCATCTTAGTTAACGAAGAATATGGGTGGAGACCAAATAAGCATGCATGTGAATATAGCATCAGAAGAAGAGAGGAAAAGAAGAGTGCTTCTCTCATGTATTGAACTTCAGAAGAGATAGTTGTGTAAAGACATGGCATCTGGTCAAGTGGATTTTTATATACTATATTTTCTTAAGCAAAGTTTAATTAGTTCATTGTTACGTCGTATCTTTGTTTGTAATGGGCCGGGATGATGAATATATTATCCGTGAACACACAAAATTAAAGCTCCGATTAAGAGAGTGTTTGGATAGTATGAGAAGTACTTTTGAAAAGCACTTTTCCGCAAATCGAGATCAACTTATCTACATATTTATTTCGTAAACCATAAAATTACTTCTAAAACCATTGTTTGGTTTCCATCTAAATACCCTTTAAGACAAAGAGCGTTTTTAACAAGCTTTTAACAATATGCATGTGGCGATCTATAGTCTAAAGTTTGGAAGCTTAATACCTTCCCCCCTCTGTACGATGCTTGTATGTATTAGATCAGATGTGAAATCGGTGAGGGTCGAAATTGTGTTCGTGTGTTATTGTTATGTGATTTGATAGTGCAAATTATATTAAGAAAAAGGGGAAAATGACAAATTAATTAAGGAACTTGTTTGAAACATAATGCCACTTTTTATTATTAGGGACTAAAGATTTGTTGTTGAGATTTTTAATTTTTGCATCCCAAACTGAAGTTATAAATTGATTATTGATTTTAAATTAAAATATCATATTCCATTATAAAAGCTAGTGAGCATATACCTTGTTCTCTAAGATATTCTTATTAATTATACTTAATTATCAAAGGATTTATATGATAAAGTAGTTTTCAATACAGATAATTAAAATGTATTTTAAAAATCAACACTATTTTTAATTAATAAATAATTCAACTATTTTTTTAATTTCTTTAAATTATTTATTTACTTTCTACTCATTGTACAATGCAGAGTGATCCCAACAAGAAATTCTTTGGTACTCCTAAAGTAACACCTCACATGTATCCTGTCCAGTAAGAATTCTCCACCTCAAATAATTTTAATCCACATGTCATCCTACTCATGTCCTTTAATTTGTTGTTTTACTAAAACTGTGTTTTCCTCTGCTGTCCCATTTCTCTCTTTCTCACACCATTACGGCAGGCGCTGGATCTACGGCAGGCGCATCTCGGCAGCCTGCAAGCCTCTAGGAGTCAGCTAGAACACTTCACGTAGAAAGATCAAGTCGATTAATCTGGATGGGATCTGCCATTGTGATTTGGGAATAATTGCACTCTACAAAATGCATCATTTCAATAGTGCTTTGCAGACTTGAAGAACCTTGTAGAGGATCTTGCGCAGACACAACGGCCATCCATTCAGGCAAATCAGAAAAAAGATTCCAATAGTTTATTATTATATTCTTCCCAATTTAATCCGCATACTATTCATTAATTCCTTTTGGATGCAAATAAAAGCCATATTTTCAATAACCTGGGTTTTAACTTGGAATCATGGGTACGCAAGACAAAGTTAGAGTGTTAGCGAACTGCATCCTTCGCTTCTTCCCCTAGCATGGGGATATTAACATCACAATTGTTGCTGTCAAAATGATCTCCTTCATCTCCATCTTTAAACTCCCCGAGCCCCCTTTCATCCTCTTCAGAGTCGCCACTACTACTGGCTGAGAAAATCAATGGCACAACACGGCGACGTGGAGGAGCCAGACTCGAAGCACTTTCTATAAGCTCGTCGGCCGTCGAGATGCACCTGCGGCAATTCAGTGTCGGAGCCAAAGAAAAAAAAGGAGAAGACGACGGCCTGAGACTGATGAAGAGAGAGGGGAGAGGGATGTGAGAAAGAAAAGAGGGGGCGGTCAGGGCGAAAACAATTTTTCATCTCTTAAAACAACAAATTACAGAATACCAGTAAGATGACACGTGGATTAAAATTATTTGAGGTGGGGCATTCCTATTGGATAGAGGATATATATGAGGTGGTACTCGGATCCCAACAGATATTTGCCCCGATATCCCTGCAAGCCTTTTGTTTTGTTTTGCGTTTTTGGTCCTCAGAGGCTTTTTGCCTTACCAAGGGGCCCCCGTGGCCACGTGCTTACTGTGTGAGCCAATACACTCGATAATGCTTTCATTTCCCAAGTCACGACTCGTTGGGTTTCGTCCGTGTTCTCATTTTGCAAGTTCGCGTCTCGCGCCTAGGGTTTCATTCTTCAAGGCTTCAAAGAGGTATGGATCCTTCACTCTTTCTTCCATGAAGCGCAGATCTACATTGGCTCCTTCTTTTAACTTCAATGACCCGTCGAATTTCGCCTTGGCTATTGTTTAATTTTCAAACCGATATTGCATTTTTGGTTGTGGAAGGATTTTCTGAGCTTTCAAATTGCCGCTGGAGATGAGGCCCGTCTTTTGTGGAAACCTGGATTTCGATGCGCGCCAGTCTGATGTTGAGAGACTCTTCAGAAGATATGGGAAAGTTGACAGAGTGGACTTGAAGTCTGGTATGCTATTCTTCATCTTGGTTGTATTGGTATTCATTTTTCTTTTCACCTAATGTCTTTTAAGATTCAGCTCCGGTCCGGGGCTTAAAGCTCTGCCTTATTGCTAGTTAGCAGCTGGGCAATTGCTTCTCTTACCAATTATTTTGCACTGTGGCATTCGGATTATAATGAAAAAATTCACCTTGGATGGTCAGCATTCAAAGAACTGGACTTTCTTAACGCTGGCTTCCTGTAATCATTTAGTTGATAGATAATCTTGCTGTGATATTGTAATCATCTTCTTTCAAGTGATGATTGTAAGCTTGCTTAGTTTTACTTAATTTTATGAACTGTCTGTTTTGTTTCATGTACCACTGTAGTGATTAGACTACACATTGTTTAATTCCGAGATAAATCCTAGGCAGATATACAGATTGATGACTGGGATCATGACTGAAGGTGTTTCTGTGGCCTTATTTTGATCATGAAACCCATGAAGTGTTCGATTGTGCTGAGACACAGTGGGGTATTAATGTTGTCTGGGAAAAACAGTAGGATATGTGTACAACCATTGAAGGCAATTGTCCTACAAAGGATGCTTCGACCCTTTCAGATATTAGTCCGGAAACATGTTGAAAAAGAACTAAAAAAAAAAAAATCCTACATGATTATGAAACTGCTAAACACTGATTAGTTACTTTTCAGTTGTGAGTTTTATGGTATAAGTTGCAGGGTATATGTGGTGGAAAGGTAGTATGCCTTGCGTTAGAAACTTCACGTTCTCCTATCAATGACGTTCCAGAATCTTCCATCCAAGAACTCTTAAAAGACGACTTGAGTCCTCAGAGGATACTTGAAAGGGTCGAGACATTCTTTGACTGATTACTTTTTAATGGATGTACGATATGTTTCCCTTTAAAGAAGCAAGATTTCATGAAAATATAAACCCCCTATACTCAACAATTTCTTTGACGCAGGATTACTTGGAATGTCCATGCTCTTCTTGGATGGATGTGCTTCTCTGCATTTCTTTTCTAGCATGTGCCCAAGCTTCCTTTGTATTTTCCCAGAAGAAATAAACTGATCCGCCCTAGCCCTGCCACTCTGCATTCCCTCAGCATTCATTGCTTTTTCATTCCTCATGACTTTTGCTCAATGTTCAATTTCCGACATGTTTCAACATAGAAACTTGATGGTTTCACCACAGTGGCAGGTGTTGTGGTACTTCCTGACAGTTTTCGTTTCGGTTTTAAGTTGCTTTATGTCTCAAATTAGATCAGTTGATGCTACCTGCCTCTCCTAAACGTCTTGGCTCTTATAATGTTTCAACTGAACTGAAATGTTCTGCACTGTTTTCTTTTAACATTCTTGTTTTGTAGGGTTTGCTTTTGTTTACATGGAAGATGAACGTGATGCTGAGTATGCAATTAGAAGACTTGATAGAACAGAGTTTGGTAGAAAGGGGCGCCGAATACGTGTCGAGTGGACTAAGGTACATATTTTGCATCATAGCTGCTCAAACATGGATATGATTATAATTAGATATCATGGTGTGCATAATCAAGTTCATGTGCGATGATGTTGAATCTTGTACTGGCGATCAAAGGCTGACGTGAAAGTCCTGTGACATGTCACTTTGGGAACGCACATGTAATTAAGTTTCATAATTACCGGTGATGGGGACCATGGTCCAATGCCAGACCAGTTGTGCAATGCCAGAGTTTTGGCAGTGCAAATTTGTCTGTTACAGGCATGGCTCAACCAACTGCACCATGGGCAATGGTTGCATGTTTGCGTTCACTCCCTTGTGAGGAATTTGAAGGCCCTATCTTAGAGAGGTGCCTTCATATTTGAGGGTTGTTATCACTCCATTCTCAATGGACCCCTTCAACACAGCCCCTCAAAGAAACCACTCCTGCTCTCACGTGTCAATGTCTCCTTATTTATGTCTATGCTTTATTCCTCTCTCTGTTGCAGGGCTATGGCAGATCAGGTAAGTCCTTTATCCCATTTCCTCTTCGGTTCTCTTTTGTACTTCTCCGTCACCCTTTTCCTTCTCTTCTTTCTCTGTATCTTTTCTGTTCTATCTCTTTTTCCCTGATACCCTCTCTGTTCTAGATCTCTTAGCTTCGCATCCTTTCTTTCCCCATTTAAAAATTTTTAGCTGGTAGTGGATTAAATCCAAAAGTTCGTACTTCCATCTTTCATTACCATTTTGTGGAGAAGCCCCAAACTAGCAGCAACTTGGAGCTTTTCGTGCGAGCATGTGTTATTTGACCTGTCCTTTTATGTTCACTTTGAATTATTTTAATTTATTTTAACTACTATAATTTAAT